TATAAAAAAACGTAAGCAGACAAAACTTAAAAGCAAATATACATGTAATATTATTAGAAAAATAATGTACATACTGTAAAACGTAGTTACAAATGTGCAAAAATTATGAAAAAAATGATGAGCATGATGCTTTATACAAAAAGCGTAAATGTAAGAGATTGAAAAAATGTAATATACATTGATTCATTACAAATGAAAAATTATGTAATATAATATTATATCAAATAATACGACATAAATATTATAAAGAACAAAATAATATGTGATGTTTTGGGAGATATTTATATAGAACGATGCATTTAAAAAGATACTATATTGAAAAAAATGGCTCTTCTTAAAAATTTGTCCTCGTGATACGTAAGGAAGTGAAAAAGAATTCTGGAAAAATATCCACGAAACAAATAAAAGAGCCATCATTTCAACATCATGCTGTAACATCATATACAAATCTTGCAAATAGCAGATACATCGAAAATATGTATAGGTACACTGGGTATGCAGCATTATATAAATGATACTTGTTAATATATATATATATATATATATATATATATATATATATATATGATTCATATAAATTATAGAAAACTGCATGCTCATCATGAAATATATTTAAAAAAATTGTATCCATTTTTTAATTTCAATAAAAATAATATTAAATTTCCTAAAGTACAACAACAACCAAATGGAAATGATTGTGGTGTGTTTGCAATTGCTTTTGCTGTATCATTATTATTTGGTTTAAAACCAGATATTATAAACTATGAACATTTTTTGATGATAAATCACCTATTTAAAATTTTTGAAACTAACATAATTCAACATTTTCCACAAGATTGTACTAATGGTATTCCGAACAATGTTCCACATTTAAGCGTAGTGGAACGTAGAAGAGTAGATGCGTATCGAAAACGTGTGCAAAGAAAATATGAAACTCAAGAACAATATGATCTTCGAATCAAAAAACAATTAATGTATGATAAACTTGAAGAAAATAGAATTAAAAATCGTGCAGCAAAACGAAAAGCATATGCATATAATTTATTAGAAAATCGTGCTATAAAGCGTTTAAAATATGCAAATGATAGAAATGATAAACGTGAAAAAAAAACGTAAATATTATGTTTTATATAAGAAACATGAATGTGAAAGATTGGTAAAATATAATATACGTTTTCCTACAAATAAGAAATTATCTAATAAAAAATATTATAAAAACCACACGAAATATATAAAAAAAAGCAAAAAAATTGTATAGCTAATAAAATATGTTGGAAATATAAGCGTATGTATTTAAAAGAAAATAGAATTGGAATTTTGCAATCAATGGAAACATATGTTAAAATCCTCTTACGAAATATTAAAGGATCTTCAATAGAAAAAAAAAGACTACGAGCAGAACGAATAATTAAATGGTGTATACACGCTAGAGAAAAATACATAATAATCTTAAGAAAAACATTGGCATTATTAAGAGAGAAAGCAGAAGTATGTTTAAGTCGCGCTAATAAATGTAATGATGATATTACTTCCAATAATTATAATCAAGCTTTATGTGGTTCAAGTAAACATACTGCTTCCACAGAATCATATTTTTTTGAAAGTAATTACAAGTATATTGAATTTAAGGAAGCATTAATAATAAATAAAAATGGACAAGTAACTAATGTTTTACCAATAACGACAAAATGTACACGTAATAAAACAACAATATTTTGGAAATGTGGATCTCTATGTAGAATAAATGATGCTATTATAATTGAACGATTCAAACAATTTTAACAACAATATCAAAGTGTTCAAAAGTGAGAAATATTTCTACATTTATTAAATCAATCGAAACATGTTCATATTCATATAGACAATCGAATAAACTTGGTCATTCGCAAGTATGTTACATTGATCCAAAATTATGTAAATCTAAATTGTTGGCTTTGCATTTCTTGTCACCACATTATCCAAAAGTGAGATATATACAAAGACTTGCTTCTCGCTTGACATATTATTACGACAAACTATTAAAATTGGACGAAGCTTTACATTCTGGTGATGTGCAAATTTTGGACAAAATTGTTGATAATATATGTAGGAAAAGTATGTTTACCGATGCTAATATCGAAACAGTTATAAACTTAAATGAAGATGAAATATTATTAAAGTATTCGAAAGCTTTTACCGTATTGACAAAACGGTCTACAGATACACCTCAATTTGTATGTTTATCTTGTGAAAAACTTTGCTTTAAACGAAATGTTTTTAATGTGGGAAAATTAAGAAAGTCTTTATCAGGAAAACAATGGAAGAAATTAATAAACTACTTGCATATTGATTTAAAAAGTACAGAGTTATATATTTGCCGATACTGTTTGACATACTTTCGTAAAAGCACTTTACCACCAATATGTATTTTGAATAATTTATACGTTGACAAAACACCAGACGTAATAACTACATTAAATGAATATGAAAAAATTTTGATACAAAGAGCAAAAGCTTTTCAAGTTGTACAGAAAATGGGAACAGTATCAAAGAAAAATTTACCACAATCACATCTTCAAAGTAAAGTTAAAGGCAGAACGTTTCACTTACCATTGCCAGTAAATAAAACGATAAAAAAAATTTGTAACCCAACAGACGTATTAAATTATGATCACGAATTATACATTGTAGTTCGTGGTGTTCCAACTAAATCTAAAATAATGTGGGAAAATTTAGTAAATGTTAAAAAAATTTATGAAGTATTAACATGGTTCAAAAAACACAATCCGTTATATACAGCAATTGAATTACCAAAATCACATGATGATCTATTAACTGACAAACTAAACGACGTCGAATATCAATTGAATGATAATGTGGAACAAATTCAGCAAGCATTATTGACACAGATTACGGATCCGGACACGTATTACGAACAGTTTACTATTTATCCAATGTATGATAAAAGAACAAATGAGAGTGCAACAGCGTTGTATCAAATGTTAAGAGTTGAAAATATTCCAATAGATGGTCGAGATAAAACTTTGGATCTTTTGTGCTTTCCCGATTTATATCCATTTGGAAAAAATGGTCAATATGAAGAAAGACCAATACGTCTGTCAGATAGCGAGTTTATCAAATCACGATTAATGTCCAAACATTCTCAATTTCGTTTAAATATACAGTATATATTTTATTTATTGAATAATGCAAATATTCGACAATTAAATAGTGGTATTTATCATAAAATGAATATAGTGAATTTGAGAGAACGATTTAGCAAAAAGCTTCTTGAATGCAATGTCAGAAAATAAATTAGAAGGAAACATAAGTACAATATTTTCAAGACTTTGCAACAGTGAACAATATTGGCGCAAACCTAGATGTGATTTAAGTTGTATGATCTATTATTATGGACCTGCTACCTGGTTTTTAACTCTAAGTCCAAGCGAATGGCTGTGGTCACATATAATTGAATATCTTCGAGAAATAAATCCTAATATGTCCACAAAATCTGCGAATGAACTTATTGCATTTGATCTCGTGTCCGTATCTAGATATATGGAAAATCAATTTCACGCTATGCTCGATTTCATATGTTCGAGTGATCATCCGATTGGTGAAGTAACACATTACTTTTGGAGACGTGAGTATCAAGGTAGAGGTACTCAACATTTTCATTTATTAGTATGGATAAAAGACGCTCCTTTAATCGGCGAATCTTCTAATGAAGAAATTGTTAAGTTTCTATTAAAATATATATCATGTAAATTACCCGATAAAGATATTTCACCTTTATTATATCGAAGAGTCAATACTCATCAACGTCACGTTCATAATAATTACTGTTTACGATGTAAGAAAAGTAAAAAGCGTGTTACTCGTGTTTGTCGATTTGGATTTCCACGTCTAGTCACCAAAAATCTAATTTTAAAAGATCTAGTATCGTCGATAGCAGGAAGAAGAACTTTAAAAGCAAAAAGCAGATTATACGATCTTCCACGAGAAGAAAAAGAAAAGAATATTAATGATTACAATCCTGTAATTTTAACTGCATGGGAAGGTAACATGGATATGCAATTTATTGGTGAAAAATCAACTTTGTTAAATTGGTACTGTACAAAATATACTACAAAATCTGAGTCGAGTTATGCAAATAATACATTCGAAGCAGTTAACTCTACGAAATCATTACGTAGTCGTCTTTGGAACTTTGCAATGCGTAATTTAAATAACAGAGAATGTGGTGCTCTAGAAGCATGCGACACACTTCTCGGTATATCACTATATGGAATAGATCCATGTACAACAATTAGATGGCTAGATGTTAATCAAATTAGAAGCCGAAAAATAAAAACACTTAAAGAAATTAAATTGTTGGACGCAGATTCAACAGACATTTTTTGTAAATCAATGATTGATTATTACTATCCAACTAGACCACAAGAACTCGAATCGTTGAGCCTTTATAATTTTGCGAAATGGTATGATATTACAAAGAAAATACCTGCCAATAATTTTTATACTTTGAAAGGTGAAGGTAAATATCCACATTATATTAAGAAAAGACAGCGTGGATATCTGGTGAATCATTATAAATACAATGTTGAAATGCAACCAGAAAAATATTACTATTCGTTATTATTATTATTCAAACCATGGAGAGATTTATCAGAAATAAAATCAGAATATTCTACTTATGCAGAAGCATTTTTAAGTATATATTCGCAACTACCAGAAGCAATATCTTATCATGAAAAAATTGTTAATGATCAAAATTACTTGAAAAATATTAAAGAAAATATTGAGAATTATTTAAATAAAATAGTAAAATCACAAGAGGAAAATAAGCAATCTAATAATAAAACAGAATTTCTTGCTTTGGAAGCAGGAAATGCTATGCAAGAATTTAGAGATGTTTTAGCTAAACCAGACGAAACAAATATCGATGATTTAATTTCTGGGCTAAATGATGATCAAAGGAAAGTATTCGATACCATTACAAATACCATTAAATCTGATTCGAAATGCTTGAGACATTATGTAAGTGGCGAAGGTGGAACAGGCAAAAGTTATCTCATAAATACTATTAAATGTTGGGTGAAACAAAATTTAAATAAGGATGTTGCGGTAGCTGCACCCACGGGTATTGCTGCCTTTAATATTGATAGACTAATATTACAAATGCTGAACTTAATAAGTGCGAACAAGATTTAATGATCTTTGTTGCTTTGTTTGAGGTCCTATATGGAAAAGAATCAATGCGGTTTAATGTGCATTTGTTGCTCCATGCTGTTCAATCTGTTCGGAAGTGTGGACCTTTATGGGCTACATCAACCTTTCCTTTTGAATGTAATATTTATTTGTTAAAGCAGCTAGTTAATGGACCAAAGGGCGTTGAGCAGCAAATAGCTAAAAAGTCATTACAGATTTTGTCATATAAAGTAGGAATGTCAAGTAGTTCATCGCCGAATCATGTAAAAGCGTTTTGTGAGCAATTGTTCATGAAAAATCAGTCGACTGTAAATGTTGAAGTAAATGATGGAGTAGTATTTTATGATTCACAACATGTATATATCTCAGATAGCGCTCCAGTTACAACAAAACGGATATATAACAAATGTATATATAATAATCAGGTGTACCATAGTAAAAATTATAAACGATCAAAAAAATGGAACGACACTATTGTACAGTTAAAATGCGGAAAAATTGTTAGAATCGATGATATAATTAATGTACCTGAAACAGGATGCCACTTCTTAGTTACCACATTCGTTGCCGAAAAAGTAATTTTACGTGCAAATTAATGCACTGTCGATGAAACAACGTCTCCAGATGAGACATTAGCAAGAATTGGTGACATTGATATGCCACATATGTGGAAATTTGTAGAAGAGACGGGCCAACGATTTGTAATTTCAATTCATGATGTTTGTTCGAAAATGGTTGTCATGGACGTAGGAACTGAGCAATTTATTTGCGCTATGCCAAATATATTCGAGATTGACTAAATAAAAGTTCGCAATTTCCTATATTTTGTGTTTCTTTTTATATATATAATATAAATCGATAGTTTAGCACAAGGATTATTATAATAAATTATGTGTATAATGTATACTAAATAATAATGAACTATTATATTATGTACACTTTTATTCCATATATAATGGATTATTATTATAATTATATGATTTTAATTACATGATGTCTTATAAAATGTTAATAAAATACACTATCTAGTAATAACATAACGTAATATAACATATATATTTTGTAATTTTTATGTCACTGTTCTATATCACCTTGAAATATATATAAATCGAAAATTCTATATGTGTATTTGAATATTAATTTTTCAAATCAAAAGTTGGCTTTTTTGTCGAATTTACACGAATTGACAGTATTTGACGTCCAACTATTATTTCAGTGAATTTAAATGTTCTCGTTTCAATATCATACGATAAATTCAAACGAATTGGTCACGTTCATTGCGTTGTGCATTAAGTGTGATACCAAAAGCAAATGGCCAATTCACAATTATAGATTCAAACAAATTGATCGTACGTTTATTGCGTTGTACATTGAATGTGATACCAAAAGCAAATGGCTAATTTACAATTATGGATTCAAACAGATTGATAGCAAGTTTCTTTCGATGTTCATTGAATAATATACAAAAAGTAAATGACCAATCCGTACTTATGGATTCAAACGGATTGGTCGCACGTTTAATTTCTATGCACATTGGGTGAAATACCGAAAGCAAAAAGCCAATCCGTAATTACTGATTCAAACGAATTACGGATAGAAAATGGATTCAACAAATCCAAAAATTTGATTCAATATCGGTTCAATGAATTATTATCAATATTTTTAAATTTTTTTCGTTTGCTGGGAGGTACCATCAATGGCGCGTTAGGTTTTTTTTAAATGGACCTTCGCCTGGAGCCATATTATACCACATTATATTACATAATATTGTACTATATTTCTTATTTATAAATGTAATGTCTTTCACAAAATATTTTTTACACACTTGTCTTTGACAAGTGTGATGTCTTTTAAAGATGATATTTTTACATACTGATTTTATACAAGTACGACATCTATTACAGACAAATTTTATTTCACATACATATATATAATTAAGTGAGCAAAACTATTATTACATTATAAAAATAATAATGTCCATTTATATAATTTATTTTATTTCGAAAAATATCATTCTACATCATTAGCTAATGAAATACTAGGATTATTATCGGTAACATATAACGTTGAACTATGCTTTCTTTTTTAGGACAAATAGAATATAATTTGTACCCTTTATAACAAATGCTTTACATTTATTAATCTTCATGTCCAGAAGAAATTTTTTTCTTGCTTTTATCATTAATTTTAACACACAACTTACATTTACATATTCGCACAAAAGTTTATTTCAATTTTTTTGTTTTTATATCTGATAACATAGAAAACATTTTTTCTGAATTGCAATTGGAAAGTTATCTAAGAGCATTCAAAAGAAACTTTATATTGAGATACTTGTGTTTTGAAATTTATTTTCACATCTCATCAAAATTTATTTATTTTTTATTTTTGATAAATGTTCTTTTTCTGCTACTTGTAAAATCTAGATATAATATTATATAATTCTTTATATAATTTTTAAAGCATTGTTATTAATACCACCGAGGATTTAAATGAAAAAGAAAATATCATTAAATAATGTTTCTTTATCAATACTATATGTAGAATACTATATTTTGTTGGAAAATTTTTAATCTATTTTTAATAGATAATTTTTTACTAATTTCCTCGGTAGCAGTTATACAAAATTGTAGATAATTCTCTTGAACATTTCTAAATATGCCTGCGTGTTCTTCTTTCATTAATTTCTCGCGAGACATTTTTTCACAAATATTAGATTAATATCACTTACTAATTGCTGTAATTCTCTACTATCTATTTTAGAAAACTAAAATTAATATCACATCCTTTTTTTAAAAGCTGATTTTCAAATAATTTGGAAAATTATTATTAAAAAGTTGTAATGACTTTGGCTGCAACAAATAAATGTTTGTTTCTAGAACTTGGAAAAATTAAAAAATTTTAACTATGTTTTAAAAATAGAAAATATGCCACACATTAGAATTTTATATTAGAAATATATCAGAAATAATAAATATTCTCTTGATTTTTTTATTTTTGATTCATAATTTTGGTCAAGAAAAAGTTTTATACTATCCCAAAAATTTAAAAGTCATATATGAATGATAAGATAGCCACTGTTTATTGAATTATTATTTATATATTTATATTTATCCATTGATTCTTTTTTTACTCTTAGATACAATATTAAATAATACAATGTAGTATATGGCGCCAGACAACAATTCACTTTTAAAAACTTAATATGCCAATGGTGGTACTTCATGGATGATGTGGATAATCATTGATCATTAATCATTTTATTGTTTTAAGATACAAACGTATATATATTGTCAGTATACATGCGTGCAATTAAAAAATTATATAAATACACACACACACTATTTTTTTTATATATACATGTGGATTTTATTTAATGATTTTTGTATATTTTTTAAATTCAAAATAAAATTCTTTGTGTAATATGTTACACATTTTTTTTAAATTTATTTTTTTTCTTAAAATGTCAAATTATTCATATCAATGTATGATTTTAATCAATAATGATTTCATTAATAAGTATATCGTGAAGCTTAATAATTTATTTAAATGTTTATATTTTTGTATCGAGCACTAGTGTATATTTATAATTATAAGGAATATTTATTAATTATTATAATTTAGAAATTTAATAAACATTCTATTAATTCCTCTATTTTTTATACATATGTATTAATATCACTGATATGTGAGAATATTATATAACATATTAATAGATAAAATTTACTCACATTGTTCTAAAAACAATATATATAAATTCTTACCACCTCGTGGCCATTGTTTACATGAAATGGATTCATCATTAACATAAAACCATTTTGATTTATTACTTTTATAGTCTCTTAACATGTTTGTGTAATGACCTTCATGTAAATTATTTCCATGATTAAAATGCGTCAAAAAAGTGATATCAGTTACAGAGATTTACTTTCTAGAATTCGACTTGGAATTGTAACAGATACTGATATTGAAACATTGAATTCGAGAAAAATAAACTTTAAATCTACATCATGTAATGATAGATTAGAAGAATTATGTAATTATATTGCAAAATTGCCGTGCGATCCAGTGTGCTTGTTACCAACATGTAATTTATGTAATGTTCTTAATACCGCAATGTTGGAACGCATACCTTCTGAAAATATTTCATTATTAGCATTGTATTGATTGTCCACAATATTTAAAGAAAAAAATATTAAAAATTATTGGTGCAGATGATGAGGATAGTACGAAAACTGGTGGACTGTCAAATGAGATAATTGTGAAAATAGGGGCAAAAATTATGCTACGTAGAAATATCGACGTCACATTAGGACTTGTTAATGGAACTATTGGTACAATTACGAAATGTTTACGTAATATTGATAATAAGGATGTAAATACATTAACAATTGCTTTATCGAATGGAAAAGAATTCAATATAGAACGTGTAAGTGTCAAATTTGAAGTAATGGACAAAGCATACATTATTCGAAAACAATTTCCATTGTCACTTAGTTATGGAATAACAATTCATAAGAGTCAAGGCTTAAGTTTGAATTCGATTGTTATTGATGCAGGAAATCTTATTTTCAGTTGCGGTCAAACATATGTGGCATTGTCACGAGTCACATCTATAGAAGGATTACATTTGATAAATTTTGATCCAGGATCTGTAAAAGCTAATGAATTAACCATTGTTGAATATAATCGTTTAAGAAACTTATATCGTCAAGATATAGAAAGCATTATTGTGCAAAAAAATCAATGCAATAAGATTAAAGATCGACAATGGACAGTGTCTGTCCGATTTCTTGCTGGACAGGAAATTTATGAAGAATCAACAAATCTTGAAAATATTTCATTAACGTCCATTAAAGGCTTTATCAATACAGATAATGTTTCTTGCTATGCAAATACCGTTTTACAATGTATTGTACATAATACTGTTATTAGAAAATTATTATTACAACACGATGAAACAGATGTTATGAAGCAATTAATTAACGATTATATTGGTGACAAGAATGTATTAAACAGTATGAGTATAAGACAATTTCTTGGTAATTCATTTTTACTGAATGTTCAACGAGATGCGGCAGAATTTTTAATAGCGCTCTGTGCAAAGATTACAATTCTTAAAGATATCATTGAACACGACTTTTCTACAACAATCCGTTGCAAAAAATGTAATTACACAAACGTTAATAAGCAAAAAAATATAATAGCTACACTTACTATTCCCACAAATCTAAAACAGAGCATAGATATGCAATATTTAATGAAACACAACTTTTCTCATTGGATATCTGTCGAAGGAATGTGTGAAAATTGCAAAGAAAACAATCAATTGCTTATTAAATATGATATATGTTCTTTTAAAAAAATAATTGTAATGCAATTGATGATATTTTCATCAAATGATAAAGACACGTCTAGAATTATAAATAAATGTAACATTAAAGGTCTTTCAACTGCCAAAATATCTATTGGAACAAACTTTTATAAAGTCGTTAGTGCAATATTTCATCATGGAAATAATTTACATGAAGGTCATTACACAAACATGTTAAGAGACTATAAAAGTAATAAATCAAAATGGTTTTATGTTAATGATGAATCCATTTCATGTAAACAATGGCCACGAGGTGGTAAGAATTTATATATATTGTTTTTAGAACAATGTGAGTAAATTTTATCTATTAATATGTTATATAATATTCTCACATATCAGTGATATTAATACATATGTATAAAAAATAGAGGAATTAATAGAATGTTTATTAAATTTCTAAATTATAATAATTAATAAATATTCCTTATAATTATAAATATACACTAGTG